GTCAGATATTTGCTGTTCACTCAGATAATTTTAATTACCTATCATCTGTCATTTCTAAGTTTTTATTTTTATTATTACTTAGTTTGATAAACAAATCTTTATTACGGTTCTTCAAAAAAAAGATTATTTATCAATAGTAAGATTCTTCAAGATACTAACTTTTTGATATTAACCAAAATATACATCAATCCTTTGAAATTTCAGTAAATGACAATATATTTGATGTGAATGTGTTTCAGATAAATAAGCTTAAAAAGAACTTGTACTGCATATAAATTAAAGCTACTGTAATTACAATGAGATGAATCTTTCCTCAATGCAACAAGATCTTCAGAATCCAGCTTGTGACTCCTTGGAGAAACATTAGAAACTTATAGGAAAAATTAGGTGCTGTAAGTAACTAAATTTCCAACATTTCTAGAGATTAAATCAAGGTCCATATAAGGTCCAGGAGTACTGAGGCCATGAGGCGAAAGCAGATATTATATAGCAGAAAGTAAATGATACAAATGCATCAGAGTGAATTCCTTTTTCATTTCCTTTTCAGAAACTCTAAAGTTACTAGCTATCTTCTTTCTTGCCCGTTTCACTGCCTCACAATCCCTCTTCCTTAGCCAAAATAATGTCTATATCTGTGGTCTTGATTCTTCCCACTCAACATCTTTTAAAATCAATTTTCCCAACACTTTCTTTCTGCTGATTAGGGTGTAGTATCTGACATCTGTAACTACTATTTATTTACGCTTCCCCCTCTGGCCAAACACTCAGAAATAAAAGCAATATAATGCTTTCCCTTGAACCTGTTATGTCTTGATTGCTTCTATCCAACTGCCCTTCTTCCAGATTTCCAAAGGAAGGCTGTTCTCTTGCTACTTAGGTAGGGTTGAAGGGACCACCATTATCAGCATCACTTGAGAACTTATTTAAAATGCCCAATGCATACCTGCTGAATCTGCAGCGACGTGCATTAACAAAAGGTATTCAATGATTTCCTGGATTTGAAAACTTCAGTCTATGCGAGTCTATACCAAATTATATACATATGTTTGTGCAAATATGCTTATATTTCTTACCCAGATACATCCCCAACTCTCCACTTGGTCCAGGTGCTTCCATCCCTAATGCTTCCCCATAAGTGAGAAAGACAGGAGAGACAACATTTGCTATAATTCCCTAGCAGAATTTTGGTAATGAAAGGTCATATATTCTTCAAATCTTTCTAACCATGACCCTATCTTTTTCAAGAAATTATTTTATTTTACCATCCGCCATCACCAGTATCAGCATCACTTGAGAACTTATTTAAAAATGCCAGAATCCCATGCCTGCTGAATCATAGCGTGCATTGTTAACAAGGTATTCAGCTGATTTTCTACAGTTTGAAAACTTCTGATCTATACCGAGTCTATATGACAAATTATATACATGCATGGCTGTGCAAATATGCTTATATTCACCTATTGCAGATAAAACACGACTCTCCATGGTCACGTGCTTCCATCCCTAATGCTTCCCCACCAGTGAGAAAGACAGGAGAGACAACATTTTGCTATAATTCCCTGGCAAATTTTGGTAATGAAAGGTCACTTTATATTCTTCAAATCTTTCTAACCATGACCTATCTTTTTCTAAAGAATTATTTTATTTTACCATCTGCCATTATATAAGCCTGCTTCTTGTTGCCTCATGTACTCCATGTATTCTCTGTCTTCCTCTGTCTTCATTTCCTCTTTTACTCCTTTGCTCAGGTCTTACAGTATATTGAATTTAAACTAATAATTCCGCTCTTTTTTTTGGCACTGTCAATATAATCTGTTGCTAACACCTGAGAAGACATATAAGTTTCACTCCTTTTGTTCTTCTATGCTATGCATTTAAAAAATAATTTTCTTTGGCTGTCAGAGTATATCAGTCCTCACGCATTTAGACAAACATTTGGCCAAATGGTGTTTTAAATTAAAAAAATTGTTCTTACCTTCTATTTTGTGATTTATTGTTTCGACATCATTTTGATATATAGCGCCAGGTAAACACATATAATTCTGTCCAGCACTCTTAGAGATAATCTGTTAAAGGTAATATCAATAAATAATTTGTTTATTTCATTTTTTTGTTTTTTTGAGATGAAGTCTTGCAGCGTGGCTCTTTGGTGTGATCTTGGCCTACTGCCACCTCTGTCTGCCAGGTTCAAGCAATTCTCCTGCCTCAGCCTCCCAAGTAACTGGGACTATAGGCATGAGCCACCACGCCTGGCTAACTTGTTCTATTTTTAGGATAGACAGGGTTTCACCATGTTGGCCAGGCTGGTCTTGAACTCCTGATCTCAAGTGATCCGCCCGCCTCATCCTCCCAAAGCAGTGGGATTACGGCGTGAGCCACGTTAATAAATATTTTTAATTTTAAAATAATAAAAATGACAAGCATCAATACTTTTATTTAAAATCTTTTTTATGGACTGGGCACAATGGCTCACACCTGTAATCACAGCACTTTGGGAGGCCAAGTCGGGTGGATCACGAGGTCAAGAGATCGAGACCATATTGGCCAATTGGGTGAAACCCCATCTCTACTAAAAATACAAAAATTAGCTGGCCATGGTGGCAGGTGCCTATAATCCCAGCTACTCAGGAGGCTGAGGCAGGAGAATTGCTGGAACCCAGGAGGTAGAGGCTGCAGTGAGCTGAGATCAGGCATTGCACTCTAGCCTGGTGACAGAGCGAGACTCCATCTCAAAAAAAAAAAAAAAAAAATTTCTTAAAACATATATTTTTTTTTACTTTAAAGGCAATTAGATTTAAAGCTGTTCACATATTGAACACCAAAACATTTCAAGAGGAAACCTCAAATGTGCTCTGTATATCAAACTTATCTTTTATCTTCATGTCGCTATTGACTAGGTTACTGAGCATGGAAAATAAAACATATTCAGAAAAAATTCACTCGTGTACAAAAGGAATTAAATTCAAAGTATCTGCCTTACTCTGTAGTCCTCACCAAAAATAATAGGGCATTTTAAACAGAACACAATATGATTAAACACTTGACATATGCATAATTATAGAATTTTTGTTAAAAACTATGCAGGGCATGAAGAGAATTTTCAGAGTATGTCATACAGAGTAGGAATAGAACTCTGTAGAAATTGTTTCATTTAGGAAAACAAGGGCTTAAGATAATAAGAATAATTTTTACAAGTTTTTTGCTGATAAAGAACTGTTTGAATAAAAGGAAAGATTCAGAAGGAAAATTTTTATTTATGTTACTTTTAAATGAAAGCAAACAGTCATTAAAGTATGTGATTGATTAAGATACAACTTCAGAAAAGTAGAGCAAGCCTTCATATAAAAAGAAAAACAAAAACATGTATTCGTGAAACGTGTAACATGTGCCAGACACATATTTGCAGATTTTTCTTCACTTTAGAATAATGAGGATGATGATGATGTTGGTGGTTACCCCACTTTCTACTTCCTAGTCATTCTAGGTTAAGAACAAAATGATGAACAAATACGGTCCACTGTTCTCTCTGTTTAGAATGTCTTCCTCCCAGACTTTCATATGGCCTCATCTTTGAGATGGAGATTAAATGGCAGTCTCAGAAAGATCTACTCTGACCACAGAATTCCACTGCCACTCCCACACCCATGCTAATTATAAAGTTCTTCAATTTTCTCTAACCAAACATTCTCTGTTTTGTTTTTAAGAAAAAGTTATAGTGACTTATACGTTTTTTCTATTTGTTATTCTCTTCCTACTACCACAGCATAATCCCTCATCTTGGATATTCAGAGTCTCATTGCCTAACACAGTTAGTGCTCAGAAAGAAATTACTCCAGGTCAAAACATTGAAAATCTCATCAGGAAAGTCTAACTTTCCAAACTGCTATATTTCTATGGAAAATCTGCAGTTGTAGCCTGCTGAAAGTTACCATCCCCTTACCCAAAATTAGAAATCCACATGCCTGTTCCTACTCCCCGTTCTTGTGCTAACAATACTGCTCTCACATAAATGCCACTTTGATCATTTCATCTTACATTCGTATACAGACTTTCCAGTTTACAAAATCTTTTCACATTTGTTACAACATTATTTCATCACATGTACCTAAGAGGTAGATATGAGCACTATTTTTATTAACAAGCTTACTGGTATTTGATTAGGTTAAATGATTTTTTCCAAGTTCCCATAGATAGTAAGTGACAGAACCAAAATACAGACTTATTTTTTGACATCCACTCATTGTTGTTACCACTACGCAGCTGCTGCTTCTAAGTGGTAAGGCCATTCCTATCTCTTTCACATCCACAGCTGTGACCTTGGAATACATCATTATTATTTGATACTTATGTGGCTGCAAACATGGCTGCCACAAAGGGACTCAAAGATTTCTATTTGTGAAAAGAATGCCTGCTTATTAAAATACTACTCAACCAAATTGTTGTTATTACAGTTTTACAGGTGTCCTATTTCTCATGTTTATCCAATTCCTGAAATGTTCTTTCAGATATATACTGGATAATCAAAATATACCAATACTTTCAAGTCCCAGGCATGATCTTTTCAAGTTCCAAGTTGAGCAAGACTAAGACTACAGTTTAAACTCTTTCTCCCTGAATCCAGTTAGAGCTTTTGTATATCTAGATATACATAGAATCATACATTTGCCCATAAATGAACGCAGAGAAATTATTTAGTTTTTAGACAAATTTAACTTCAGAACTCGAATAGATTCCTGGTGCCTTCTAAGCCTTATTTTCTTTTGCACTATTCTACACTGGCTTCAAAATTAATACTGCAAATCAGCAGAATTGCACTATGCAACTGTTATCCACTTGGCACATGATTAAAAAGTACGTTCTGATAAATGCCAGAAAATAATTTCATATAGACACATGCAGAGGTGAGAAAATAAAGTCAAATCATCTTTCTATGTTTTAAGATTACTCATTACTTAAATTTTAAAATAACATCAACAACAATACACATACTATCAAATTCCAGAAGGTGATTTTATATCTTCTTTGTGATTCTGATGTGGGCATCTTATCTACAAAATGTTATTCACAGACACATATATGAGAGCATTTATTACTGTAGGTGTAAACATATACAAATATGAGAACATTTATTACTGTAAAGTGTAAAAACATATACAAATCTATATCCATTTATGAATATTTCAAAAATAAGAGTTAACAGCAAAAATAGAAATTCAAAATTGAAGCAGGTTCAGAAAAAAGAATTGATAGTATGAGAAAAGACAGCAGAACGTATTTTTTTAAGTAGACATTGTTATTTGGTCTACAAAATTGTTTTCTAAATAATAGCATTTAAGCATAGAAAAATTTTCAGAGATATTCACTAAATTACCACTTTTATTATTTTGGCATAAAAAAATAAAATCGTCATTACTTTTTTGATCTTGTGGAGCTTGTTCAATAATGCCAATATCATTTTCTTGTTGTCCAGTTACTGTCTTTGTTGCTCCCTCCTATTACAAAAAACCGAAAAGCAACAACAAAAAAATCTTCAGAAAAAAATTGTATTTATTCACTCACTCACTCAATTTGTCAGACAAAACAAAACAAAAACATCCATTGTATCTATCAAATCACAGGCACTAACCTAGTAGAAGCAGAAAATACACACAGAAGATAAATTCTAGCTTACATTCAAGAAATGGTAGAGACATGTGAAAACAAATAAGAACAGAAAAACATAACTCACCAGTTCTACAATTTAAGTCAATAAAATACATAAGGGCATAAAGGAGAGAAAAATCAGTTTCACCTGAAAAGCACAGAAAATGCTGCCATAATGGGGCCATATTTGGAAGGACAGGCAAAGTGCAAAGTCAGGATACAAAGACTCTAGGTGCAACAGCATGTGCAAAATAATAAGGCATGAAACAACATGGCAACTGAGGGGTGCCAAAGTGATATGGTAAAACTGGAACACAGTCAGAGGAAATGACTTGAAGAGAGAAAATGGGGCCAAACCATATAAGATATGTGTCACGCTAGAATGTGTACTTAACCCTTCAGGTAATGGGTATCAACTCAATATGCAGATGAGTTACATCATTACAAATATATTTTAGAAAGGTGACCCTTCCAGTGATGTAAAGATAGATGAACATGGGGAGATGGGGCAAAGCAGAAAGGAGTACTTCAAAATTAGGTAGAGAGTTAATTACGGTAATAAGATATGAAAATTATAAGAAGGTAGATAATACAAATTTTGGTCAGTAGCGAGCTGGCTTGGTGACCTGGAGGAAGGTTGAAGTGCAGGATGTGGGGGACGGTTAAAATGGAGGTTGAAGTGCTTGAGCATTTCATGGCTACTTCCACAGTGTTATTTACTAGGATGGGGAAACCAGATGACTGAGTAGATTACAAAGAGTCAGAAAAGAGGCAGGAAAATATTAAAAAAAAAGATGCTTTCAGTTCGAGACCTCTAAGATTTGAGGCATCCAAGGGGCTTAGAAGAAAGATCTGGATAAATACATTTCAAGTATGAGTAGATAATCTACATGAGGAAAATTACATAGTGATAAGGAAATAAATATTTATAAGATAGACTAAATGGGTAGAATTAAGCAACACAAATCTACACAGACTGTTGTAATTTTGAAAATGAAATTAGTATGAGTAGATAATCTACATGAGGAAAATTACATAGTGATAAGGAAATAAATATTTATAAGATAGACTAAATGGGTAGAATTAAGCAACACAAATCTACACAGACTGTTGTAATTTTGAAAATGAAATTAAAGGAGAGAGAAAAACGTGGGATTAAGTTTCTCAGTCATATATTTCCAAATTTGTTTCAAGAATATAATTTTATTTATATATGAAATATTTATTTCTGAAATATTATTGCAATATGCATCTTTGAATTGAATGAAAACATTTAATTCTAAAACAAGATTCTGCAAAATGACCTATATAAAAACCTTGAAATTTTTAATTGTAGAAGAGAAATGCTTACCCATAGAATTACGAGGCATTTATAAGTACTACTATAAAGTGAGATGGAAATGTGAAACCCTGCTTTAAAATTCACATGCTTTTCTTATGTTCCTGTAAACAATATAATACTAGCTCAAATTGCCTACTTACACCATATAGGATGGTAGTTTAAAATTGGAGAAAAGATCTCACATAAAGAAAATTAAGCAATAATTATTCAAGTTCAAGATTTAATAGTTTTTATGTATATCTATGATTGTCAAGCAGAATTCAGTATTCACAGGAGAAGTGAAGAAAGAAACTAAAAAATTCAAATCAACAGGATTCCTGAGTTTTAGAAATAAACAAATGTATGTGCAAGGTTTAATAATTATGAAGACTAAAGTTAATAAGGCTTCCTGGAAATAATATAAAATATCCCCATTGCAAGAGATATTTTAAGAGTAAAAACAATTCTTCCGATGTTAAGTTTGTATACTCTGTTAACAATCTTCCCTCACATATGATTCTATGATAATAGGCACTTTACTTTTAAAAAATCCAAAAATATTGAATACATTCATTTGTTGTGTATATATAATACCACTACATACATACTATGAACAAAAGATATCAGAATATTTTTAGAGATTAATAATTTCTACATTTATTTCTTTGAGAGTGTTCTAGTTTAAAAGTGATTTTAAAAAAGTGATTAAAAATTTAAGAGACACAGAATAAGAACATTGTTCATATGATCAGAAAATGTAATTTTAATAACAAGCTTAAATAAAATGCTTATTTATTTATACTCTATTATCAAAAATATTCAAAACAGCTACCACGGTTACATCAAAGAGCAAGATAAATTAGTTAAATAACCTAAGAATATGTCAAACATTAAATTAGAAATCTTAAACCAGAAACCAAAGAGTCAAAAATTGATAATTCACAATAAGGCTGACAAGGCCTAAAACAGATTTCACTTTGCATTCTACATTAATATGACTAAATTAAATATAAAACGTAAAGTTAATAAAAGAAGTGAGAATTAAATTTTCGTTCCTTGTTTATAATTTTTTTTTTTTTTGAGACAGAGTCTGGCTCTGTTGCCCAGGCTGTAGTGCAGTGGTGCAATCTTGGCTTACTGCAAGCTCTGCCGCCCGGGTTCACGCCATTCTCCTGCCTCAACCTCCCGAGTAGCTGAGACTACAGGTGCCCGCAACCACGCCCGGCTAATTTTTTTCTATTTTTTAGTGGAGACAGGGTTTCACCATGTTAGCCAGGATGGTCTCGATCTCCTGACCTCATTATCTGTCTGCCTTGGCCTCCCAAAGTGCTGGGATTACAGGTGTGAGCCACCGCGCCCGGCCATTTATAAATTTTTTGTTGACACAGTATAAATGTACATGTTTTGGGGGTACATATTATCACTTAATACATTCATATAATCAAAACAGAATAATTGAGATATTAATCACCATAAGTATTTATCTTTCCTATATATTAGAAACATTCAAATTATTCTCTACCAGGTATTTTAAAGAGTACAATAAATTGCTCTTACCTATAGTTATCCTTATATTTTCTTTCAGCCTTTTATTCAAATCAGCTACAAGTCACTCAAAAACACCTGAGCCGTAATTTATTACCTGGCTATGTTTTCTAATTTTTTATTTTAAATCATTTATATAATATCTTTTATTCTAGAGCATTCCTGCTCTCATTTAAACAACTTTTTTGTTCTTTTTTTAATAATAATCTGTGTCATCTTGACTCTCTCATGGAGTCTCTATGTTTATCTTACCCTTCTTCAATGAATTATTTCATTTCACCCCGTTCATGTAATTTATTATTATAGAAATATGGTGGTATCCATTAATGAATGATTTCATTTCACCCCTTCATATAATTTATTATTATAGAAATATGATGGTATCCATTAGATTATTATTGTTCTTTTTTCTTTTTCTTTTTCTTTTTTTTTTTTGAGATGGAGTCTCGTTCTGTCTCCCAGGCTAGAGTGGTGCAATCTCTGCTCACTGCAAGCTCCGCCTCCCGGACTCACGCCATTCTCCTGCCTCAGCCTCCTGAGTAGCTGGGACTACAGGCGCCCGCCACCACACCTGGTTAATTGTTTGTATTTTTAGTAGAGACGGGGTTTCACCATGTTAGCCAGGATGGTCTCGATCTCCTGACCTCGTGATCTACCCACCTGGGCTTCCCAAGTCCTAGGATTACAGGCGTCAGCCACCGCACTCGGCCCCTAGATTATTTTTTTAACCAAAATAACCTAGGACAAAAATTTACCCTTACAAAGTTTATAATATTATAGAAATAATTAAAATTTAAAAAGTTAAATTACATGTTATATTTTGGAATATCTCTTCACAGTTGTATTAATTACCTCTTGTGTGGAAAAATGTGAGACTTTAGTTTTTAATAGTACCTTATTTAACTGGGTTTGCATTGAAATGGTATGGGTTGTTTCTATTCTGTGTGGCAAAAAGCTAAGTATAAATAATTGTATAAATTCTGCTTCTTCCAAGAAACAGAGAAAGAAAGAGTAAATCATGGGGAAGGCAATGATTGATTAATGAAAATCCTGTATAGCAACTAAATAGAAACCTGTAAATAAATATGCTGACAATGGAGACAGTGATGCCCTCTCAAAAGCAGACACTGAAAAAATGTATTCTGTGAGAAAAAAAGTCTGGGGTAAATCATTTTTAAAAAGGTGAAAGAGGGAGAAACAAACAAGAGACCTTACCAATCAAGTATAGCTTCAGTCATGAAAGAAAATGAAAAACAACTACTATAAGACATGTGATGAAATACATAAAATACAGACTTTTGTTCATAACATATTCCTATAATGCTGATCAGTATTTACACTATAATTAGTTATTTTGTTAATACCTGTGCAATAAAGATTTAAATTTTATTATTATATAAGAAGACACCAAATTAAACATGGTCGTCAGCCAATACCTAAAAGCGAGAATTTTCTTACTACAGAGAGAGAAAAAATTTAAAAAGGAATGTTTCATAAACTTTTCACCTGAAGAAAGTATTGGTAATAAGAATTTTAGAGTAATGTATTCCTTAAAAATATATGTTTAATAGAACATGACTTTCGGCCGGGCTCAGTGGCTCACGCTGTAATCCCAGCACTTTGGGAGGCCCAGGAGGACAAATCATGAGGTCAAGAGATTGAGACCATCCTGGTCAACAGGGTAAAATCCTGTCTTTACTAAAATTACAAAAATAAAGTGGGCGTGGTGGCACGTGCCTGTAGTACCAGCTACACAGGAGGCTAAGGCAGGAGAACTGCTCGAACCTGGAAGGTGGAGGAGGAAGTGAGCCGAGATCGTGCCACTGCACTCTAGCCTGCATGACAGAGGGAGACCCCGTTTCAAAAAAAAAAAAAAGAGCATGAGTTGAGACTAAATTCATTAAATTTTTTTTTTAAAATCTAAACTCCACTAGGAGGATACTGGAAAATACAGCGTAACCTTCTTTCTTATTTACTACATGTCACTGATTGTCTTCTTATTTAAGACATATTTTCTCAAGATAACTTACATGAATTTATGCATTCTAAATATTAAAAGACAATATAAATTTAAACCATATTTTAGAAATGAATTAGAATTAATTTTAAGATATATTATGCATATTATCTTACTTGTAACATTCCATAACATAAAAATTCATTTGTCTGCTTATTTATTCACATTGAAAGCCTCTTAAAATGCTTTTTATAGGCAAGACTGTATTCTGGGTACACAACTTCTTTATTTAAGACATATTTTCTCAAAGATAACTTAAGGCTTAAATTTATGCATTCTGTAACATTAAAAGACAATATAAATTAAAACCATATTTTAGAAATGAATTAGAATTAATTTCTTAAGATATATTATGATATTATCTTAATTTGTAATATTCCATAACATAAAAATTCATTTGTTCGTTTATTTATTCACACTGAAACCCTTAAAAATGCTTTTTATAGGCAAGACTGTATTCTGGGTACACAAGGATGACAAGTATGTTTAACTCTATGGTATTCCCATAGTGATGCAAGAGCTTCAAAACAATTATGTAATAACTAAATACAAAATCTTCTGAAATTTAAAAATTTTCAAAATGTGATCATAGATCCTAGAACAATATGTTTAAAAACTGTACTAAAAAAATTCTGAAATTAAAATCTTGCCATATGCTTATTAAGAGTCTCTAATTCCAGAACTGCTGTTTAATTGGGGTAAAACTCAAGCGCTCATTTCTCTAGATGAAGACTCAAAGTGTTTTTTAATTAAGTAACTTAGAAAAACACACTGCATCCAGCATCAATACAGATTTGGGCAAATTTACATTTCTAAATCTCTACTATTATTTTTTTAAATTAGAGATAATGGTCTCATTATGCTTGCCCACACTGGTCTCAAGAACTCTGGGCTCAAGCAATCCTCCTGCATGAGCCTCCTGGGATGGAAACTACAGGCATGCACCACCATGCCCAAATAAATTTTCACAACTTCTAATATTATTTTGGTGTATTTAAAGAACCAAGAAGAGAAACTGAGACAAAGCTCTCTCCTATAAACTACGTGATATCAAAATAATAAGTGCAAAAAAACCTATATGCTATGTGGCACAGTTTTGGAACTGAACAGTATCAGAGAGATTCCTTGATTACTATAATAAGTAATGTGATCCATTAAAGACAAATTTAAGCATGAGGTTTTTTTTTTAAGTTACAATAGGATAATTTTAACACTCACAGTAAGTACACTTATCCAAATAAAAATTTACCAGATTTTATATATTCTTTACTGTGGAAAAGTTTTTTCTAATATAATGTTCCTGTCACTATATATTTTCCAGCCCATTCCTTTTTTGGGCCCTCACAACCTCAAAGTATTTACCAAACATTTGTTATTTACTAAAGTAAAAAAAAAGTTTAAATCAACTACTCATATTTTATATAAAATGTTCTTATCTGACCAACTTTATATTGCCAACATGAAATAATGATACTTACAGCACTGCAAAACATGAAAAGTAAATACTATACAGAACTAGATTCCAACTGAGAAAATCAACTTCACAAAAGACCATTTTACCTTGGTAGCAAGATTAAAGTCTTCCTCAAGTTTTGTAGACTGTGAATTTTCAATAGTCTGTTTGCCAAAATGACTTTAGAGAAAAAAGATGTAACATAAATGAGCAAATTCACATATTTTAAAAATAAAATCTGCTAGTATATATCTTGGTGCTCACTTTAAAAAATGAAAACAAAAAGCAAAATCTGGGAAAAGATCAGTCCTCTGTATATTAAATCATGTTTCTTGGTAAAATTAAAATATGCCCTCTGTTTTTAAAAAATATCTTAGTTACATATTTTTGACTCTTCCTCCCCAACCTATAACATTCAATGAACACTCACTCTTAGCTTCATAAAAAATAGTGACAGCCAATATAATTGGCATACCCTGAATATAATTTGTCCTCACAAACTGTCCTCAATGATGAACTAGAAATCTACTTAATAACTGACATAACTTTTGATATCTAAACCGGAACAAACTTGATAACCTAAAATGGGGAAGAAAGACACAGTTACTGTATCCCTTTTCCATTATCTATCTCTGATTCAAAGACTAATCTGTGTCACAGGAAAATGACATTCTTTGTTTCTCAGCAAAAAAAACCACTTAAGAATGCCCTGTTGCTTCCCTTCACCCTAAAACACTA